AATAACCGAGTCGATCACACCTATCGTCGAGAGCAAGGCCGTGGCGAAGCCGTGATCGAGACAAGTCGAGGACGCGAACACCCGATCCTTCATCAAGCAGCCTGCGCGCGAGCGCAGGCAGCAGCGCGCACGGGCAGCATGATGCGTAAGTGGGTTTTGACCCCCGAAGGCAAGAACGGCCAGGAGCCGAGACGACCCTATGAGGCTGAAAATAGGGCCAAAATGATGCAAGCATGGCCTAAAAGACGGTGCGAGCTCGTATGCGAGGCACAATGACACGCAAGAAAGGGCGCATTAGAAAAGGGCGAGAATACGCGCATTGGCGTTGACGCGCATGGTGTTTGGAGGTTGGAGCATTGGTCGGCACGCAGGGAGAGGATGTCGAGAGATTGGCGCGCACGAGCGGTTGCTGCGGATGGACGGGCGCGCATCGAGCGATGGGCGATGCGCGGGCATTGGGCGCGCTGGGCGATAAGCGGACCACGCTGGGCGTGCGCAGTATGCACGGATGTGGCAGGGACGTGCGGACGATGGGCAGCGACGCGCTGGGTGATACGGGCGATGGCCTAGACCGCGTAGGCGTAGGAGTGCCGGACGACGACTGCGGGGCGCACGGCGAAACGCGCGAGGAACAATGTAGGAACAAGGCGGCATGCCTAATCCTCGTAGGAATAGACAAGGCGCAAATACTAGTCCTCGCAGGAGTAGGAAAAGCAGTTGATTACCGGAACGCATGTGGGAGATCGGTGACGGGAGTAATCCTCGGAAGATCAGGAAACGTAACCGAGAGCCTATTCCTAGTAGGAATAGGAATAGTGGATATGGGCCCGAGGCATGGTCTTACAAGGAGTAGGAATGGCGTGCGCATGCGAGGCAGACGGACGAAGCCTAGTCCGCGCGGGACTAGGCGAGGCATGGGTGTGCACGTGCGAAGAAGGCAAGGCGCGCGATGCCTCGCGCGCCAAGGAATAGGATAGCCGAGGGCGGTGTGCGTGAGAGACATGAGGCGCAAGACTTGGAGCTTCTAGATTTGCTTGGTGTGCAAGCCAAGCAATAGTGATTTTGGTAGCCTTAGGATTTAATATTTAATTGTTTTAATAGTTTCCTAGTAAGATTAGCATTAGATATAATTGGTACCTATAAATACCCCATGTACCTCATCATATTTGACAAGTTGAATGAAGTATTGAATTGGTGAGCCAATTTTGAGGGGGAACTTATGTTC